GTCGTCGTCGTCGTGGTGTTCTGTTCTGTGAATCGACGCTTGCCAAGTATGTGTAGAGGTGCAGCAGCCCACTGGTCCGGCCAGGGCCGTGGGTCATAGCGATGACCTGGCGTTGTCCGCCAGGCACAGCGCAGCAGAAAGCATTCGAGCACTGCTGCGCAGTCTCGCTTTACGACAGCTTCGACACGCAGGGGGCCCTCTTCGCCTCCACGCTTGCGAAGGCGATAGTTGCCTCCAGGATGCCAGTCGACGACCACTTGAGGCGAGGAAGATGATTCAGGTCAACATCAGAGCGGTTGCCTGCACCACGCGCAATGCCCTGACCCAGGAGCCAGATGTGAGCGCGCGCGCGCGCATCGTGCCCCGACGCGCGCTTGTTCGTCCTCCGCGCGGCTGTCCGAGCACACTGGCGCGAGGACGGACGCACTCCCAGCGTCCCGGTGAGTTCCGCGCCAGCGCTGCCAGTTGTTTCGCCTCCTTCGAGGCCGGCGCTACGCGCAGCGTGGGCGGGAGCTCCAGGCAACGCCCCGTGCCTGCGCGCAGCCATGGTAGCCCAGCCGCCTGAAGGCCTGAACGCCTCGCGACCTCAATTTCGCGCCGCCTGAAGGCTTGAACGCCTCTCGGCTTCAATTCATACTGCCGGAAGGTGGCGACGCCCCGACGGCCGTGCAGGTGGCGCGGGATCCAGGCAAGACCGCCCATTAGCCCTCAAGAACTCTAGCGCGAAGGTTTTGGCAGCGTCTGCCAACCGGCGCCTCTCGCTGGTCGCGGAGAAAAGCGTGCCGAGTCCGCAGCGCGGCTTCGTCAAGGGCAGGAACTTCTTGTAGAACGCGTGCACCTCTCGGCGGTCTTCCCACGCCCTTGCCTGGGGGGGGGGGGGGGGCGTTTTGCGGTGCCATGCCAATTCGGCATCCCGGACTCTTGCATCACCCTGATCAGGGCGCCCTACGATGGGCAACATTGTCGGACGCGTATCCGGTCGCAGTCCTTCTACATGTGCTTAGTGCTCACCAGTGTTGCACGGGGCTGCCCTCTCTCAGGCATCCTGTGGGCTCTGGCCACGGCGCCGTTCGTAGAGGCTCTCGCCAGTGTGCTGGCGCTCCCCTCGCGATCCCTGGCCAGCCGCCCACCGCGTGACGAGCCCTTACTCGGTACTTGTCGAGATGCCGACTTCGGCGTATGCGCTGACGATGTCGGGGCAGCATTCTGGGACGTCTCCCTCCTCAGCCTCACGGAGCTCGATTTCTGCGCCACGGCCCGCCTTGTCTGCCTGAGACTACAGCCTCGGGATTGTGCGCTGGTGCCGCTGTGGTTGGCTTCTGCGGACTTGCCCGCCGCGCTCCATGCCTTTCGATCGGTACTCAGAGCATTGGCCCCGAGTTGGCCGGATTTCGACGTCGCTTCGAGGGTCGAGTACCTCGGCGGTGCTGAAGAGCGCGCCTGTGACGACGTACGTGTCAATTAAGCTAGACAACGGCTCTACCGTCTCTGTCCTTGCGTACCTGGTACAGTTGCTGCCCCTGCCGGAGGCCCTCCTCTGGGGTAAGCTCGACGCGATGTGCCGCATCCTGAAGGCCCCACCAAAGTCCTTCGCGCTTGCCGACTTGATTAGCATGGGCACGCGGGCGCCCAGCCCCGCCCTCGCCGCGATGCAAATTGCTGTTTGGGCCGCGCCGCATGGCGCGCAGCCAACGTCACACTCGCGGGCTGGAGGGTCTTTGCAGATGCGTGGCGGGAGCGCGCGATAGAGTTCCTCCTAACCGCCGTTGTCGCATCGCGCATCGGACCGATGGGCCGCGTCGCTATACGAACAGGCGGAGTCCATGTTGCAATGCCTCATGGCCTTCGACACCGCCACAGTCAATGCCCCCAGCGAGCGTATGCAGCGGCGCCAACGGCCGGCCTTGCAAGGGGCCAACTCAGCAGCGCTCCCCGAGCTTCGCGGGGCCGCGGCCGCTGCGCGCAAGCCCCGCCTACAGCGCATGCACGGGGCAGCCGCCGCTCAGGCACTCTTCCCGGTGGGCTTCCACGGCACGATCCGTCGACGCCTCAATTCGGTGACCACATGTGAACCCTAAGCCCCCCTACACACAATCTGGTGGCCTGACCTGGCGATCCCACCAAACCTGCGCCAGAGGCGGCTACACCTCAGAGCCCAACTGGCAGATGCTGCCCTGGGCACCTGCTGGGCGGCCATCCGCGCCGCCCTCGCAGGCGCGCGGCCCACTCCTTACAGCATGCATGTGGGACATCCCCACCTTGCGAAGACGGCGCTACCAGCTGTCGCACTTCCTGGAGTGCCGAAGGGCCTGGTGGAGTGCGTGCGTGGCCACGCGTTCCATCGCCCACGCGTGCCCCCTGCAACGCCTCGGACTCGGCGCAACAGCAGACTGCCACGACGAGCCGCAGGGCGATAACGGGCTTCCCAGCACGGCGGCGCGGCTCGCCACGCTGCTTCACACGTACAACCTGCTCCGCGGCATGGCGCGGTCCAGCCGCTCCCGGAGGTGGCCCAGGCCCTGGCCCGCGCCGCGCCCAGCGCGTCCAGGTGCCCCCGCTTCCCCAGCGGGGCGGCCCCAGGGAAGCGCAGCCACCAGGGTCGGTGACCTGTGCAGGCGGCCCGGCAGCACCGGCGAGTCTGCACAGCCCAGCGCGAGCCGCCCGTCACCTTAGAGCCCCGGCGGCGGCACGGCGGCGGCGGCGGCGGCGGTTGGCGCAGCGGCGGTCTCCCCAGCATTACTTCGCACACTACGCAGCAGTTTCTGAGCGGCCCCGCCCGCGGCGATCTGAGGCGCTAACTCTGACCCCCGTCTCTGCTATGGGCGTTTCTTCTCCTCCTCCTTCTCCTCCTTGGGGAGGACAGGAGGGAAGGAGGAGAGAGGAGGGAAGAACGAGGAGGCGGGAGTGGTGGCCGTCCTTCATGTGTGGCCGCGTGGCGAAGTGGAAGGCCGCCTCTGGCTCGTCCTCCGCGGGGCGAGGTGGATGATCAGTTGGCCACCACAAGTGGTCGCCTTGAGACCCTGGCGTTTTCGGCGCAAAACGCCCATCGAATAAAATCAACCAAAGAAGCCCCGCCACCCCCCGCGCCCCCGATGTTAGTATGTTTCGGAACGACTTGCATTCCCGGCCCGGGTCGACCGCCGCGAAATTTGAAACTAGGGTTTGGGTTTGGATCCTCCTCGATATATCTTCGAGGTAGGCGTTTTATTTGAAATCAACGGTCTCACGAAGGCCATCGACTATCGGCACAATTTTCCTGAGACCCAGTCTCGCGAACAGGTCCTGGGCAGGGCCCGAAGCGGGCTCTCAAGGGGCGACGACCTCAGAAGAGCAGATCGCTGTGGTGTGGCTCGTGGCGTTGGGGGACTGGGCCCCAGACTTCGCAGTCCACCCTCCGGGTCTTCTCTTGGGGGCGCGCGCGGGCCAGAATCTCGACGCGGGCCCAGCCGCGCAGGTGAGAACGCCTTGGGATATCCCGAGCAGAGACCAGCTCCATCTCAGACCCCTCCCTGCCCAGACGCCCGACGACACACTTTTTGACAACGCGGACCCCCTGGAGGTCTCGACACCCTCCAGGACCAGCTTCCCATCTCGAGTCGGCTGGTCCCAGGGTCCAGTGAGGGCCTCCGGAGTCCAAAGGTGGCACAGACCTAGTCATGCTTTCTTCACCTGCATGTGTTGCGGAAGGTGTGGTGGGGTCTTTTGTAGGAGGTTGGCAGAACCCCCACCCATCCTCTGGTATCGTTTAACCGATCCACATCCCCATCCCCATCCCCTTCGAGACCCCCACCCTCCAAGTTAGGGACACACCCCTCGGAACCCGAAGGATACGGCCTGTATCCCCTATCTAGGGGGGTAAATCGGCCAGTGGGGCCCAGCCCACGCTGGCGGGGATGGGGATCGGATACACGTTATGCAATCCTACCAAGTTGATTCGCGAATTGCATGTGTTCTGGCCCCCGGGGCGATGTTGCGGCCGCGACTTTTCTGGGCCTGCGACCGCCAGGTCTGGTCCCGGGCCTATTTTTTCAGTGAAGGCTCCTGTGCTACACGGGGTGAGGTCCACCCCCGATTTGGGGATGTCGAGGTCCCCGCACGGCCTCCCACCACACCGCCCTGGCACCCCAATGGAGGGGTGCGGGAAGGGAGGGCGGAGGGAGGAGGGAGGAGGGAGGAGGGAGGAGGAGGAGGAGGAGAGGAGGAGGAGGAGGAGGGAGGAGGAGGAGGAGGAGGAGGAGGAGGAGGGAGGAGAGGAGGAGGAGGAGGAAGGGGGAGGGGGGAGGGGGGAGGGGGAGGGGGGGGAGGGGGGAGGGGGGAGGGGGGGAGGAGGGAGGGGGAGGAGGGAGGAGGGAGGAGGGAGCAGGGAGCAGCAGGGGAGAGGAGGAGGAGGAGGAGGAGGAGGAGGGAGGAGGAGGAGGAGGAGGAGGGAGGAGGAGGAGAGGGAGGAGGAGGAGGGAGGAGGAGGAGGAGAGGGAGGAGGAGGAGGAGGAGGAGGAGGAGGAGGGAGGAGGAGGAGGAGGAGGAGAGGAGGAGGAGGAGAGGGGAGGAGGGAGGAGGAGGAGGAGGGAGGAGGAGGAGGAGGAGGAGGAGGAGGAGGAGGAGGAGGGAGGAGGAGGAGGAGGAGGAGGAGGAGAGGAGGAGGCGGAGGAGGAGGAGGAGGAGGAGGAGGAGGAGGAGGAGGAGGAGGAGGAGGGAGGAGGAGGAGGAGGAGGAGGCGGAGGAGGAGGAGGAGGAGGAGGAGGAGAGGAGAATCATATCCGTATCCGGGGCCTCGCATGCTGGGCCCTAGGTCACGACTGGATGCGGGGCGTTTTTTCGCGGATGCCCCCGCGCGGAACGTACCCGTGCGCCCGCGTGTCCACGGGATCGCGCCCCAGAATGCGGACCACGAGGGCGTGGATGTGAACACGTTCGCTGCCCCTCGCGCACGACTTGTCACCGCACCGCTCTACGACCCCCAGCGGCCCCAGCGTTTGTCCCCCCGCCCCGACGCCCCACAGGCGTGGCCGCAGCGCCCGCCGAGGCGCCGCCCGCGGCTGCCGCGCCCGGCTGGGCGCCCGCCGAGGCCAGCGGCCCCAGCGAGGCGCCGAGGGCGAAGACGGCGCCAGCGACGCCGACGGCGGTGGCGGCGCCGACGACGGCTCTTGACGAAGAAAAAGACGAAGACGAAGAAGAAGAAGAAGAAGAAGAAGAAGAAGCGGCATAAACATAAAGGTTTGGAGTTCCGCTCGGCGTTGTGCTATTTTTCATCTCTGGGGGGCCCTCGCGGGACCCCTGGACAATGGAAAAACGACCCAGGCTTAACAGTGGGTCCCAGGGGAAGGGTCCAGACCTTTTCTGGGAATCCACGTGATGAAAGAACAGTATAACCATAAACAGTCATAGTTCCACGCGGATTTCTTGGATTTGCGCTGGACCCCGTGTCGGCACCTCCGGCGCCGCCCGTGGCGCGCTCCGCGCGCCAGGGAGGGGGGGTCCAGCGCCGATCCAAGAAGTCCGCTTGCGGTTGTTTTTTGCTCCTCTGGCCTCGGCCACACGTACCAGTGACTCGTTGCAGGAGTGACCTCTGGTGCGTGCTTTTCTCGGGGTGCGCGGGGGGGGGGGGTCGAACACAAGAACGCAGGCCGCTGCTGTCGCATCGGAATCGGCGGTCGGCAGGCCGCGCATTTTCCCTAGAGGCACTCTGACGTGCAGCCGAGACGGCGCCGCCGCCACTGCCGCCGAGGCCACCGCCGCCGCCGACGACGGCGACGGCGGCGACGTCGACGACGACGCCGACGACGCCGACGGGGGTGGCGGCGGCGGCGGCGACGGCGACGACGACAACGACGGCTACCCCAGAATCACGGCGAAATGCTTTTGTAGGGGAACGAACAATGACATAAACATAAAAACTCGGAGGTTCGCGCAGACTTCTCGGATCGGCGCTGGACTGCCCTGGCGGCGCCTCCGGCGCCGCCCCTGGCGCGCTCCGCGCGCCAGGGAGGGGGGTCCAGCGCGGATCCAAGAAATCCGCGCGGACCTCCAAGTTTTTCGGTTTATGCCATTTTTCGTTTCATTATTTGGCAGTTTCCGGCCTCCATGGGGCCCCTGGCCGGGCTCCGAGGCTGTCAACGAAAGGACTCGAGATGGAAAGCGGGGCCTGGGAAAGGGGGCGGTACCTCGGAGGGTCCACGTTGCGAAAAATTCCCTGCGTCGGGGGTTTGGGACGGCGACGACGGCTGCGGTAAGGTCTTCGTTTCGGAGGTTTTCGGACGGCTCCAGAGGCTGTCGTCGCCCCGGCTGCACGCAGCTCGGAAAATTAACCCTAACCGAGATGGACCCCAGGAGGGGTCGAGGGATTTATTGTGAGCCAATGTCAATCGGACGACAGACGATGGACGACAGAGACGGACAAAGACGACGACGTCGACGACGACGACGACGACAACAACGACGACGACGACGACAACGACGACCGCGACGACGACGACGACGACGACGACGACGACGACGACGACGACGACGACGGCGACGACGGCGACGACGACGACGACGACGGCGACGACGACGACGACGACCGGCGGCGGCCGCGCTTCGGTGGCGGCGCCAGCGAGGCCCTCCGCGCAGCGCTCCAGATCGAGCTCCCCGGCGGCGACGGCCTGTGGGACGACGCGGAGCGCCCGCGGCCGACCCCGGCGGGCGCCCGCAGTTGTCGCCGCGGCCGCCGCGGCCGACGTCGCTGCCGTGGGCCGCCAGCGCCGCCATCGCCGCCGCAATCACCACTGTCGCACAACGCGGCTGCCGCGGCCGCCAACGCCAGCGCCGTCGTCGTCGCCGTCAGCGCCATTCCGCGGCCGCCACAGCCCGTGGGTGCGCCCTGGAGAGTCGCTAGGCTGGCGAGGTCAATCTCTCGGCCCTCTTCGCGGCTAAAGGCCTACAGGTTGCCCGGCCCCCTGCCCGCCCGCCCGCGTTCGCGTTCGGCCTCGCTGTTCTCAGGTTCTGGTGCTTGCCTCCTCTTCCACTCGCCCTTGCCATCCCCCTTTCTCACCAGGGGGAAGAGGAGATGGAAGAGTAAAGTAAGTAGTGGCCTCAAGACACGACTTCCAGCAGTGAGCCAAAAAAGGAGGCCATCATGATACGGAGCAGCTCGTGGGATCCGTCTCGGAGACTCGGGAGTCGCCAGTCGCCAGTGAACTTGCATTGCTTCTCCTGCCTTCTCTTATTTCCCCGCATCTGTGCATAGCCGTTCGGCTCAAAGAATCCTAGGCCAAGTGTGGCTCGCGTTAGAGAGCTCACCAGGGCGTCGTTCTGTTACCGTGCCTATACCGCGATGCATCACGTAGTCCGCGTAATTGTTCTTGCATTGTGTGCTCCCGCTAATGCCATGCATGTTATAAGAAAGCGTCATCGTGCGGCTCTGGTATTTGGCTGCTCGCTGGACCGCGATGCCGTCATAGATTTCTGTACACCACGGGGCATCACTCAGGAAAATTTCCTACAATGCCTGCAAGGGCAATGGTGCAGTGACGACGACCTCAATGTCAAGATAGGTTTCATGTTCCATCCTGGCGTAGGATACAACGGGGATCTCAAGCCTCCGTTCCATTCGGGCTGGAACGATGCGCTTTCGACAAAGGATATCGAAGACGCCTACGGCAAATCACCGCCGCCCCTGCCTTTTGGAAGCGTCTGTGTGGCCGAATGTTGCGGCCAGAGCTCGGCCAAGCTATCGGACTATGGTTTCCCCCAGCCTTTGTGGAAACCCTTCGCAGAACACGGGGGGGAGAAAGAAGAAGAGGAGGAGAGGAAGGAAAGAGGAGGAGGAGGAGGAGGAGGAGGAGGCCTTTTGGGAGCCGTCTAAGGGGCCTCTCTGGGCCGGCCTGGGGCTCGTGGGGCGCTTGAGGGCAGTCTTGGAGGCCATCTTGGGCGTCTTGGAGGTCGCCTTGGCCGTCTTGAGGCCCTCTTGGGGTAGTTTCGGGGGCCTCTTGGGCTGTCAGGGGGCCATATCAGAGGCCTCTTGGGCGCTCTTGGGGCTGTCTTGGTGACCCCTGGGGCTGTCTTAGGCCGTTGGAAAGCCGAAACGATGCAAACGCCCAAGTCCTGAAAAACCGGTTGGAAATTGATGATGTTGTCCTCTTCGGGCCGTCTTGGAGGCCTTCTTGGAGGCCTCTTGGGCCGTCTTGGAAGCCTCGTGGGCCGTCGTAGGCGATCTTGATGCCATCTTAGGGGCATCTCGGCCCATCTTGCAGACAGATTGGGGCCGTATTAATTTCTTTTGGGGCCATCGCAGCCGTCTTGGAGACCATGTTTGCCGTCTTGGAGGCAATCGTGGGGCCGTCGGCAGCGGGAAGACCGACGACCTAGGAAGTTTGCGGGTCTTTATTCCGTGCCGGCGCATTAAGCGGAAGGCTTTGGGGAATCTGTTCAAAAAGAACAGAATTTGCCAAACAGTTGGCACGCCCTGAACCTTTGTGGCAAGCCAAAGGGGGGCGACGGATTGAAGACGCTTACGGCGAATCACCGCCGCCTCCTGCCCTTTAGGGTACTGGATACACTTATGTGGCCGAGCGTTTGGGCAAAGTTCGGCCACGCTATTGCACCATGCGTTCCGCCAACGGTTGTGGAAGACCTTCGGGGAGCACGTGGGGGAGGAAGAGACGAATGAGGAGAAGGAGGGAAAAGGAGGATGAGGAGACCTCGTGGGAGCTTCTTGGGTCACCCTTGGGGCCTCCTGGGATCTTCCTGGGGGCCTCTTGGAGGCCTCTTTGGCCATCTGACGGCGTTCACGGCCCGACTGGCGCCGCCGGAAGCCGCCTTGGGAGCCTCTCTGGGCCGTCTTGGGGCCCTCTTGGGGCGTCGTGGAGGCCCTCTTCGGCGTCTTGGAGGCCTTTTGGGCTGTCTTGGGGCCCCTTGGGGGCCGTCTTGCGAGCCTCTTGGGCCGTCCTGGGGCTGGGCGATCTTGGGGCAACAGTTGGGCCTCTTGGGATGTCTTCGGCCGTCGGAAAGCCGAGCACAAGCAATTGCCGAAATACTTTAAAACCAATGGGGAATCAATGATTTTGGCCTCTTGGGCCGTCCTAGGAGCCTCCATCTCGGCGTTCTTGGAGGCATCTGGGTATCGTCTTAGAGGCCTTCTTGGGGCTATCTTGGGCCCATCTTCGCCGTCGTGGAGGCATCTTGGAGGCCATCTTGGGCCACCGTGGCCGTCTTGGAAGCGATAGAGCCAACGGAGTTGGGTTGCTTTTTGTTGCGGTTTCTGCGGCTCTCCGGGTGGCCAGCGGGTTGCCCTGCCCGACGCCCCGTTGGGAGTATTAAAATAACCCAAAATCCAAGACGTCCACACGTCGTGCACCCCTTGGCAAGCCACAGGGGCGGCAGATCGAAGACGCCTACGACGAATCACCGCCGCCCCTTGGCCTTTGGAATCGCCCATGTGGCCGAGCGTTGTGGCAAGAGCTTGCATCTTGGGAGCCTCTGGGGGCACTCTTGGGGCCTCCTGGGAGCTTCCTGGGAGCCTCTTGGAGGCATCTTGGGGGCCTCCTTGGGCCTCTTGGGTGCCTTCTGGGGCTTCTCGGGGGCCTCTTTGGCCGTCTCAGGGCATCCCTGCCCCTCTTGGGGCCGTCTTGGGGGCCTCTTGTGCCGTTCTGGGACCATCTTGGAGGCTTCTTGGTGCGATCTTTGGGGCCTCGGGCCGTCGGAAACCGCGAAAGAGGAGGCAAATGCCAACATCCGTCAAACACGTGCGGAACAGAAATGAGTTTGGCCTCTTCGGGACTTCTTGGGTGCCCTCTTGGAGGCTTCTTGGGCCGTCTTGGAGATTCTTGGGGGCCTCCTGGGCCGTCTTGGGCCATCTTGGAGCCATCTCGGGCCGTCTTGGTGGCCTCCTGGCCCGTCTGGCGCCGTCTTGGAGGCCATTTTGGGCGTCTTGGAGGCCTCTTGCGCCGTCTTGGGGGCCTGTTGGGCCGTCTTGGGGCCCTCTTAGGCCGTCTGGGGCCCTCTTGGGAGCCTCTTGGGCAGTCTTGGGGCGGTATTGGGGGCCTCTTGGGCCGTCTTGGAGTGTCGAAAGCCCGAAGAGGCGAGAACGATAACATCTTTCAAACGCCATCGAGGAAGATCAGCGATGTTGGCCTCTCGGGGGCCTTCTTGGGAGTCCTTCTGGAGCCATCTTGAGGCGTCTTGGGGCCGTACGGGGCCGTCTTCGAGCACTCGTGGGCCGTCTCGGGAGCATCCTTGACTGGCTCGGAGGTTTCTTGAGGCGCTCTTGGCTCTTGGCCCGTCTTGAGGCTGTTTTGCATCCGGAAACGCCTAGCGAGAACACGCGCCAGCACGCGAGACGCCCCGGCGAATCCGTAAATTTGTGGGGTCGGCCAACTATTCAGCCCTCTGGACTGAGGACGGAGAGCTCAAGGGGTCTGAGGACGTTCCAACTCGTGCCTCTCGGCACGGTGGCGTATATTGGATAAGTACGCGAACGGAACCGCGCGACACATGTTGCATCAAGATCCCGACCTAGTGGTGGTGGACAGTTCGCTGTGGGATCTGGCTGGGTGGAGAGCACTTGCTGGGAGGGCCGCTTCGCAGGAGCGGATACAGCAATGGTGTGATCACGATCTGCCCAACATGTTGGACGAGGTGGCCGCGGCGTTCCCGACGAGTCGTGTAGCGTTCCGTACGGCACCGACGGTTTTAGAGCAGAATCCAAAGTGTTCGAGCGAAGAGATTGAGAGCTTGTACGAGTGCATCACTCGCAGAACAGACGGGGGACAATTATCCGACGGGCTTCGGCCTCGGCCGCCGTCTCACCTTTCTGATTGGTTGGCTGGCTGGTTGATTGTTGGCTGGTCGGCTGCGAGGCTGGCTGGCTAATTTGTAGACAGGTGGGCTGGCTGGTTGGTCAATTAGATAGTTGGCGTTGCCTGGCTGGTGGACTGGTTGATTGGCTGGCTGGTTGGTGAAAGGTTGGTCGGTTGGGCGGTGGGCTGGCCTGCTGTTTGGAGTCCCATAGTATGGGAGAAATATCAAGGGAGAGGGGCGACACAGGCGAATGGACGGGACCAGGTGAGGGGAGCGGATCAGGGGGCGGGGAAGCGGACGAGAAGCCCCGTGTCCGCCGCAGGGGGGGCTGGCGAATATGGGAAATACGATGTGATCGATTACCACGCAATCGTTAAAGGCCTGATCGAGAAGAATTCCCCGCATCTCTTCAGAGAAGACGGCTACCATCCCACCAGCTACCCCTCGGCGCTCTACATGAACGAGATCTTCAAGCTCCTGGGGGCGCACCCGAAGGAACCCCTTCGGCCTCTGGATCGGCTGCCAGGGGCCCAGGAAGAGCGCGGCGATCAGGGCGTCCCCATGTCGTGAATGCTCGGCTGGTTTTGCAGGGTCATGGCCTGGCTCTAGCAATCCCCCCCGCCTTTCTCTCCTCCGCCGTCCTGCTCGCCCAAGAGATGGAGAGGGGGGAGGGAGCGTGGGGTCGGGAAGAAGATGAGAGGAAGGAGGAGGAAACGTTGGAGCAGGAGTAGGAGGAGGAGGAGGAAGAGCAGGCGGTGGTTCCCAGCTGAAGGTTCCAACCCAGCCTGGGACAAAGGCTCCGTCCGCAAGTCAAGCCTCATTACTCAGCGGACCGCTCAGGGGGGAAGGCAGAAGCAGCGGGCCTTCCCAGACGGCTGAGAAGG